CGGGGCGCCCAGCCACCAGTAAACTGCACAGGGAAGAAATAATTCAGACTAGATCAAATAACTTAAGCCAGAAGGAAAATAAGGAAACCATTAAGAAAAATCTCTCTGTAAAGACATTTAGAACAACAAAAATTACTGGAAAGAAACTATAAAAGCTTGCTGACACGAGAGAAAATAGTCAAAAGAGAGAAGGAAAAGTACAGACCAAAAAGTGCGTACTGTTTTACTTCCTTTGAAATATACTAGAAAGAAAAAAAGAGAGCATTAGACTTCTGAAGATACATGTAAGACAGGCAGATATTTATAGAATATTAAAAACCATATTATTTAGAAAAAAATACTAAAAGACACTTCAAGAAATACACTCAATAAAAAATTTAAGTTATATTAAAAGAGCAAATCTCAATTCAACTCGTTCCTCTATTGGCAACAATACAGTCATGAAAGTCGAAGCAAGAGTGGGTTCAATTAAGATAAATTTCCTATTTGATTTTGGTTCACTGACTTTAGCATAATCATCCAGCAGATTTGCTAATTGAAAAAGTCCATTGTTCAGAAAGCCACAATCTAGACTGAATATGAGCACCAAGAAAAGTTGCTCGACCTTAATGACCCAATGGGGTAGTCCCATAAAAAGGTCACTAAAGTGATAGTTCAGAAATATTTTAGTCATGTACTCAAGTTTATAAAGGAAACACAACATGGCAACTGCCAAGAAGAGGTATTAAATGTAAAGGATGTGACTAATTAATAACCCAGCGTCCTGATGCTAATTCTGGAATCCAGGTTAAGTAAAAGCCCCCAACGCAAGATCTTGGAGGGGATTCCCATCTCACTGGCTGCCCATAACAGTAGCAGACTTTCTCTAAGCCAAATGAGACTCAAGTTCCCGAGTTATGCCTTCTTTTCCCAGAGACTGTTGCTTTATCAATGTAAAGATCTTGCTGACCTCCCTCATCCTAGAAATTCTCTAATGCAATCATCAGAGGGGCAAGTCATTTTTACACTTCTTTTGTGAGGCTGAAGCAGCACATTCCGATGAATGATTATTTATAAAGTGTATCCGCTTATTCAGTTTCATCTTGGCCACAAACTGCGCAGATGTAAAAGATGACAAAGCATGCTGAAGTGATCAACACAGTGACTAACCCAGCAAAGTAACAGGTAACGCAGTTACCAAATAAGTCATGGACAGTGTATCACCTCATGATGACATCTTCCTTCAGTACCACATCATTATGCTCAACAGACATAACATGATAGGCCACAAATATACAGCAATGAGTGGGGATTTGGCACAACTTTATACTCATGTTTCAGAGGGTGCCAGAGCACTGGAAGAGGCTGCCCAGAGAGGTTGTGGAGTCCCCTTCTCTGGAGACATTCAAAACCCGCCTGGACGCGTTCCTGTATGACCTGCTCTAGGTGGTCCTGCTCTGGCAGGGGGTTGGACTAGATGGTCTTCCGAGGTCCCTTCCCACCCCTAAGATTCTGTGATTCTCGTTTATCATTGCTCAATATGTATAGCTCTCTGAATGGTCAAACACACACCCTAGACAAAAGGAACTGGATGAGAACTTCTAACAACAACAGCTTTGAACATCAGATGCTTCTATCAACTCAGAAGTTGTTTTTCACACGCTACAGGCAAAAAAAAATTTATACAAGTTACTATCAGACTGCACTTTAGGATTCCCTAAGATAGTAGGACAATAGAACTGGAATTAAACCAGGAAGAACACATTGCACCAAAAGTAACTCTTCAGATTTTTCATCAACTGCAAACACAGCTTAGTACCAGCTTTGCCTTTTCACTTCCTTTTAAAAAAAAAAAAAAAAAAATTAAATACCAACCTCAAAAGAAAATTACAACTAAGGATATGATTGAAGAAAACAGCAGATGAATATTGAAAAAATAAAACTCTAAAGAAAGGAGCATTTAGAGAAATATAACTAAAATGTTTTAAAATAAACCGTGCTCTTTCAAAAAAGAGACAAGTGTTGTTACATTTTGAAATTTAAAAACATAACATCACTTGTACAAAGCCCAGCACAAAATAATCCATCTGCCTACTGCCCCCTGCTTACTCCTCTGCCTACAGTTCCAGTTGTGGCTTTGTTCTAACATACCAAAATAAAAATACTGATTTTTTATTTTTTATTTTTTAAATTTTTTTAAATCAAACCTCTATCTTCTCTGCCTGTTGGAGTTCTCATTTAGAGTAGTCTGTATGTTTTGACTGGAAAGGTTGCTCAAACCATTGACTCAAAACTCAAAGTTTCAGAGGAAAAGAAGTTAAGAGTAAGGATTAGAGGAATGTCTAGAATGCCAGCATATTGAGTAGGACCAGGAACAACAAACTCCACTTCAGTATTAGAAAAATCACTAAAAAACTGAGGACGCAAAACTGCTGACAACCTGAAATTTATCTACATTAGATAGACTATTTAAATGCTAAGATACAAAACTAAACAAAGTTAAGGAAGGAGGTACACTAATTGATCGAGTACACTGTTTACAGCAACTCAGTATTCAGCAAATTGAAACAGAGTTTGAAACAGCACCCACACCAAAAGAAAATCTATCAAGGATACAGAACTTATACTTAAAAACAAATGGTAATACAAAGGAGAAGATAACAATGCTGACAAACATCCTGACTGAAATTTGAAAAAAAGGCAAAAAGAGGTGAAATACTCAGTGATACTCGTATTAACAACTAACTTCACCAGCTCAGTTTTCTGAATAAGGCAAAGAATCAAGAAGAGAACAGAAAAGAGTCTGTTCATTTAATTACAATATAAACTTCTGGGAAGGTATTTGGAGATAGTAAAAGATAAGTCATTTATCTGGTACTCTGCATAACTGCAGAAATAGTCAGAAATGCAGAGATGTCATCTGGAAAAAAGCTTTAGCTCTGCACCATAGACACAAAGCTTACGCTTTGTGCATAAATATCCAGGATAAAAGCAGAATTTCAGAAATCAAAGAGCTATTTCTAGTATTTAAGCCTGAAAAGGGCTTAAAGAAACCCTTAATATCATCAAAAGTTGTCGACTGTTGAATACATGAAGAATGTTTTGAGGGGAAAATGCTAATAATTTCCCTGTTGTCACTATATTAAACACTGTATCACTACACAAATATAATTAACCATTTTAGTGCTAACTGCTACATGCAAACACCAACTGTCCTTTGAAAATGACAACCGCTCACCCAAGAGCACTTAGATTTGGGAGCTCAATGTAACGCAGTAACTGAGAAAGCAAGCAACAGGTCGAATTCACTCACATATCAAAAATATAAATATCAAGAAATAAAAGTAGTTTTAGCCTAGATAGCTGCCAGTAGGGAATGACTCCCTTAGCTTCTATTCTGACAGTAACCAATTTCCCAGTATCCCGTATTTCCTGCGTTTTGACTAAGTGGTTTTGATTCCAAGAGTAGCAAAGTTCTTAAGGAGTACTTGGGTCAGTATATAAGGAGGTGTACTAACTCACTGAGACTACTCACATCTTTCATATTAGATGGCTAAGTTTTTTGCTGAATTACAGCCAACAATAATACTTCCTTCTGCTGATAAATAGGAAATTACTCCCAGAAATGCATTTTTCTTTTAATGTCCAAAAATTTCATTTTGTTTCTGAAATTTTTTATATTTTAAGTTACATGAAAACATAATAAACATATAATTTATAATAGGTTGTAATTTATAATGTAATATAATAATGTCAAATACTTGTGCTAAAAATAATATACTTTATTTTTATAATTACATAAATTAAAAATAAATGTTATCTCATACAGCCATTAACTAGTGGAATTAGTGCTAACGGTAGTTTTTGGTTTATACATATGTCAAAAAACACCAAACACAAACAGACTCCACACAGATACAATGGTACAGATCTTGCTGTATATATACAATAAATTGTAAGAAAAACCCAAAACATTTTTTACTGGGAGAGAACACTTAAAATTTTGCTGTGTGCACAATCAGAACACTTACCATGTCATTTTTTTGTCTGAATCTTAAGTTTTTTTCTGTATATTTACCTTGTCTTTGATTTTGTCAGCTCTGGTGTCCAAAAGCTGAACTTTGCTTTGCTCCTGGTTGTACTTGCGGACTCCTGCTCCTGAGGTTACAGCTTTCCCTTGCCCTGGTGATGCAGCAATGCTAGTGGATAGTACAGATGTGCTGATACCAGATACTGCAGTGGTACTGTTCCCATTCAGTGATCCATTTATACCTTAAGATGACAGTTACACAAAGTGACACTTAAAAAAAAATCTGAAGTAGCAGATACTTTCTTTGAGCTGTTCCAGTCACAGTAACCTAGCTTCCATAAACACGTAACAAGATACTAGACTATTCACAGGTTACTCCCAACACACGAAAAATTTGCCATCCAAGAGTCACTTTGACTTGCTCTTGGAGTGATTTTCATTAAAACATGCAGAGCACTCACAATTTAAAGGATAAACACATTTAACACTGGGGGGCAATATCTGAAATTGTCCATTTTTAAGCCCAAACCATCCTTCAGTTTAGTCAGGGGCAGAAAAATAAGATTGTGAAGACAGACAGACACAAAAATATACATTTCAGTATATATCTCATTGCATAATTTGTTTACAATTTTGAAGTATCAATCAGGTCCAAAGAAAACCGCATGAAGCCCAACATATTCTATGGTATTCTAT